CAAATTGTCAACCATAACTAGTACATCTTCGACAATACCCTTAAGGTAAACATTTGATCTATCCGCAAGTTGGATAACTACCCTAGTTTCATTTAGAGAGCCAAGCTCAAATGATTTATACAAAGAGTAAGGAATGACATTAATGGACGCTCTTAAGTCTAGCATGGCCTTTGAAAACGTGGTGCCTCCCAACTTACAAGGTATAGTGGACATGACCGGGTCATTGTATTTCTTTGGAAGTTTCTTTTGAAAAACCGCCGAAACACGTTCACTAACTTGTACGTTTTGTTTTCCATTGAGCCTATGTTTTATTTTTATTGTACATAGCTCTTTCAAAAATTTAGCAAATCTAGAAACACCTTTTATCAAGTTAAGGAGAGGGTTTTGTAGATGTCCTTGTCTTTTTTCACCCTTCGTGTTTCCCTTAGAGCCTCGGGAAAGGGTGCCTCAATTTCATGGATGGCCGGTGGTGGAGTTGAGATGTGAGCTTCCTCCTCCTCCGGTTGAGCTTTCTCCACAAGCTCCTCCTCTCCTTCCTCCTCGCCAATATGGTTTCTTGCTTTTTTCTTGGCAATAACCAATTTTTTGCCACTTCTCAATGTCACCGCATGGGCTTTTTGCCTAGGATTTGTCTCCGTTTGAGATGGAAGCTTTCCCGAATCCTTGGCCTCAAGTCTACTCACCACATTTGAGATTTGGCTCATCTGGTTCTCAAGGTTTTGGATGCTCGACTTGGTCTCATGTTGAAATTGGACCATGTTTTGTTGCATGGTCGAGACATTTGAGGTAAGTGCTCAGATCATGTCTTCAGTGGACATATTTGAGCCTTAGCCTTGGGGTTCAGAATATGGTTGTTTGTTTTGAGGAAATTGATTTTGTGGAGGGTTATTTTGTTGTGGGTTCCCTTGAGGGTTCCCATATCTAAGATCGGAGTGATCTCTAAACCCGGGATGATATGTATTGCCATAAGAATCGTACCTTTTTTGGTTTTGGAACCCCAAAGCGTTGACTTGCTCGGGATTGTCTTTTTAAAGAGTCGGGCATGAGTCGGTGGGGTGCCCTTGTTGTGTACAAATGCCGCAGACCTTGACTTCTTGGGTCTTGGAATTTAAAAGAAAATCCTTAACCAAAGAAGTCAAGCCGGCAACTTGACTTTCCAATGATGATGTCGATTCCGCAAGGGCAACTCTACGGGTTGAGGACCGCCTGTTATACTGCATAGAGTTTTCGACCAACTCTCAGATGAGGTCTCTTGCTTGAGAAGGGGTTTTGTTGACAATACCCCCTCCACATGCCGCATTCACCATGCAGCGATCTTGATCCACAAGACCATCATAGAAGTAGAGAATGTGGTCTTGCTCCGAGTACCCATGGTATGGGCACATAGCACAAAGTTTTTTGTAGCGCTCCCAATATTCATACATAGTCTCATCATCTTTTTGCTCAATATTACTGATTTGTTTCATGAGACTTGAAGAGATAGAAGCGGGATAGTACCTTTCAAGGAAACACTTCTTCATCCGTGCCCATGTGTTGATGCTTCCCGAAGGAAGGTAGAAAAGTCAATCCTTTGCGGTGTCCTTGAGAGAAAATGGAAAAGCTCTCAGTTTGATTTGCTCTTCCGTGACACCGTTGGGGCACATGCTTGTGCACACAATATGGAATTCCGATAAATGTTTGTTCGGATCTTCCCCACTTAGGCCATGAAAGGATGACAATAGATGAATGAGCCCATATTTTAGCTCAAATGGTTGTTGATTTAGACTTGGAGCGGTGAGCTCCTTCAAAGTTCTTGTCTCGAGAGCCATAGTTGATGGTTCTCCGGATTCGCTAGAGCTGGAGCTAGCGGAGGATGAATCTTTGGTAGATGATTCCTCCGAGACGTTACTCAAAAATGTAATTTTCCACCGCTCGAAAGATCGCTCTATTTCCGGGTTTGCTTGATAGGTGATTTCGTTCAGTGAATGATATTTAACCATATACTACAAAGCTCAGTAATAGAAAAAGTAAGGACTCTTTACATTTTGTTTCTTTAATTTTTTTTAATTTTTCTTAAATTAAAATAAAAAGAAAAATTATTGTCATTCCCGGGTAACGACACCAAATCTGACGAGCACTTTGTCGTGATGTGCACTCAAAATAAATATCAATACAACGATTATACTAGTATAATGAAGTAAGGTTCGTATCCTCATGGAAATGAATACATCTCTTTTTAATTAAATGGTAACAAGTAACAAGGGGTTTTTTCAGATTTGCTTGATGAACTTAAATTATATTTAAACACTAAGTTGAACGACTTATGTGGTTTACTTAATAGAGAATAAGATTTGGCTTTGCTTATATCCACTTAATGAAATGTTCATCGATCTCAGTTATATCTTTAACTATCTTCCTCTCGAATACTCAATCGAGGAGTATATCCAGTTCATCGAGGGTAGTTACTAATAACGAGACACATTCATTAATAAAACTTACTACCGAGTCAATATAGAACATGCGCCGTATATTAACCCGATAGTAGCAATAAATCTAAAATGAAAACGATTGAGATTGATAACCTCAACACAAGCGGTTTATTGGTTTAATCAATATAATTAATTCCCCTTAGGTTATTAACCATAAGACGCATGCATTAATAACCCAAGTTTACTACCGTGAAAGGACCGAACAATTAACAAGCGTATTCGTCGATCAATCTAGTAATAATTAATATGTGAAACAAAACTAGTTGATCCTTTAAGTAATGCTTAAAATATTAATATGAAATATGAATATGAATTAATTAATATTCAAGGAAGAAGATTAAAGAAAATAACTCACAACTTACATTTCATTAAGCTTCAAAGTAGCAAAACTAAGATGGAAGAGTTTAGCTCCTCATTTGGAGACTAAACATGATGAAAATATAAAGAAAGAACTTGTCTAAACTGAGTTTAGAAGTATATGTGAATTGGTGAATTTAATGATAAGGAAATGAGGTGTATTTATAGGTGTTTGGGGCAGCAGGTCTGTGTACCCAATCGGGTATATAGGGTACCCAATCGGGTACTTCAGTAGCTTCCTGGAAGCTGGAAAAGTGGGGCATACCCGACCGGGTACGTCGGTTACCCGATCGGGTATTACACTTGAACGTGGTTAAATATCTCCTGCACGTTGCCTTGTTCCGGATTTGATCCGATTTGATATTTCAGCATGGTACCCGACCGGGTATAGGGTATACCCGACCGGGTACAGGTCAAATTTCAGAATCCATATTTTTGACTTGTAATCTTGCACCTTCCTTACACTTTTGGGGTTCACCAGTGGTCCCTTGACTGATCATGGACCTGTTTGAGCTTAGAATAAACCTAATCTAAACAAATTACAAATATTTTACAAACAAAACTATTACACCAAAAATGTGTAATTTCCAAAGTAACAATCAATCAAAACTAATTAAAAACACCAACATAAAACATGGGAGTTACATGAATGTCAGGAATCAACGTTCACATCGTATGAGAACACAGTCTCAAACTCGCACAAAGCGCTGATGTTTTTCAATAAAGGCTTAGGGAGAAAGGGGTTCCCTTGATGTGGCTTCCATATACTTAGGGTTGAGCTTTTATCTGTCTGTTGCTTTCCTTTTATTTCTTTTTTCTTTCTCTTTTTTCCTTCTTTTGTCTTGTACTTTTTACTGTCCTCTTTTCTTTAATAAAACATTTCCTTTCTTAAACAAAAAATGTAAGGAGGTGCGAAAACGTATATGAACAACTCTTTCATCTTCTCCAAAGTTCAATTTAAATTTTCAAAGGTAGAGCTAGAGAATGGTCAAAATAACTGTCTTAGCAAATCTAGCTCGTGAGAGGGATAATGTAGCGGGATCAATCATTCTCGAACATACGATTGGTAAACATATTTTTTAAGAATGTCAAAATTAAAAGTAAAGGCAAAAAGACCCAAATGAGGAGATTCCTTACCCCAAAAGCAGAATTTTCCATTGCTCTAACCTTCTCTCAAAATCGAGGAAGAAAATCGAGGATTGTAGATTCCATACTTCTCCGAAGCAAGAGCTAGAAGAGAAACAATCTTCTGTTACAATCGAAACACAAAATCGATTAGATCAAAGGGGTAATTTGAGTTTGCACCCTATATTATTGTCTAAATTGGACTTTGCACCCCATTTTTAAAAATCTTTGTTTTTGCACCCTAACCCCATATGAAAAGACAAAAATGCCCTTGATCAGGAATATGTTGAAGGCCAACAAAATAGTTAATGGAGGGGCATTTTCATCTTTTCATATGGGGTTGGAGTGCAAAAACAAAGATTTTAAAAAACGGGGTGCAAAGTCTAATTTGGACAATAAAATGGTGTGCAAACTCAAATTACCCCTGGATCAAAACATAATTTATATAAGGACTATCGATTATTTCATCGTAGCCTTCGAGTGGAGGAAGGAGAAGATTGTGGTGGCGGTGCTTCAGCTGGACAAGCATGAAGATGATTGTTCATTTGAATTCAAAGGACCGACATGAAGATGCTGGATTAGGAAAATGACTGGAAGGGGTTTAGGATTCAACGAGTGGGGTTAGATTATTTGTGAAATAAAAAAAGAGCTGAGAAGACAAAAATGAAAAACCCGAAAGTAAAAAATGAAAGAAACTTTCTAAGTGGACATAAATGATATGCTATATAAAATAGTGGTCTAAACAGGTAATTACCACAAAAAATTAAGATCTAAAAGTAACATGAAATTTAATTGGTTGCAATATTTTTTACTTTTTTAGTGATTTTTTCAAAAATAAGTCTGAAGTAACAAAAAAGAAATAAACTCCATTTTTATTTATTTATTTTTACCTTAGAAATTAGAATGATTGATTTTTTAAATCATAATTATTCACAAAAAAAGACTTTTTAAATCATAATGATTGACAAAAAATTGATGTACAATAACCAAAGAAAGTTGCGTATAAATAGAGTATTGTCATAGGGAAACTAAAAAGAAGTTAAGGGTAGGAATGATTAGACATCGAAGAAAAGTGGATGTAATAAATTTAAACGGCCGATTGCGTATTTTCGGGATGGTAGAGCTGACGCGATTTCTTCCTTTGGTTTCTTCCCGCCTCTCTGCCTGCCTCACTCTTCTCTTTTACTCTCTTTGGCTAGCATCCAAAACCCCGATCATAAAGCTCCCTGCTTTAAATATTTCCTCAGAAGATTTGGGTGAAATATTCGTGTATGTATAGCTTTTTTTTCTGTTACTGCTTTTGTTATGGTTTTGTACGGTAGATATTGAAGGGTTTTTTCATGCTTTTCAACAACCTGCCTGGATATACATACATTTTGAAAAAAGGATTCCGCTTGACACGGCCATCGCCAGGAGCCTCCTTTCCTCCTTCTTCTTCTTCTTTGGGGTAAGATACGTTTTAGATGTTTGATGTAAAGTAGCCTCCCCCCGTTCATTGAAGAATATCACGCCCTTAGCGTGACTGTTGATCTGTAGTGCAATCAATGTACTCATCAACTATTTAAAGAAATTGTTTCTTCAGAAAAAGGGTTCAATCTATGGCTTGTTGATGTGATTTGTTTTGGTGAAAAACCCAGTCTTTTGAACCTCTCTTCTTTCTAACTTTTTGACAGAAAGAAAGATGTACACATCCTCCAGTTCGGGCAGGCTGCCGAAAACAAGGAGTCAATGGAGTGACTTCTATATGGATTACAATGAGGAGAAGAAGAGAAAGAGAAGGGTGCTGTCTGAGTCGGATGAAGATAACGTGGTTGTGATTGAGGAGGAGGAGGAGGAGGAGGAAGAGGCATGGAGAGGCGTGCACGACAGGAGTGATGAGGTGGTTCTTGAGAGCAGTAATGATGATATGAAGCGTTTCAGCTTTGATGACAGGGAGGAGACCAGAGGTGTAGTTCAAGAGATGTCCTTCTTCTTTAATAAGGGAAATGGGAAGAAGAAGGAGGAGGGGGACATGACAGATGGTATTGAGTTTTGGGAAGATTCTGATCCTAAAGAAAAGCGGGACAAAGGGAAAGAAAAGGAAAATAGCCCAAACAGAGCTTTTGTACATGGATTGATGAAGAGAGTTCAGATGGGGGAGAGAAGGGCTGCAGTGGGTTGGGGTAGCAGTAGTAGCAGCATTCACAAGAGAAGGAAAGCCCCCGCAGAAATTGCTCTTGCACAACATGGAGTGAAGAAGATGAAAGGCGCATTTGATGCCAGCAGTATTAATAGGAGAAGAAAGTTCACAAGAATGGCTTCTGAACAGAGCAGGCATGGACTGAAGCAGATGAAAGAAACTGAGAGAGGGAAGGCAAAGGCTGCACTGGGTGGCAGTAGTGTGAAGCAGAGAAGAATAAATGATGATGATGATGTTGTCTTTCTTGGGGAATCCTTCTCAGGCAGCGGGATCCCGTTTAGAACCGGGTCAGGGTCCGGGTCCAAGGTTGGATCCGTGGGTGGAAGGAGCCCTGACATTGGCACATGCGATGAAGTTGCTTCCTCAACGACCAAGACTATGTTTAAAGAAGCTGTTGTTGGCCCAGAGGGGGATTATTCAGATGCATCATCATTGGAATCCAGAGATTCTGAAGAAGAAGAAGAAGAAGAGTGTGATGATTCTGAAGATGCAGATTACAAGGAGAATGCCTTCTCTTCTTCTGCTTCCTCTTCTAGCTCGGGTATGGAAGAAGAAGAAAATGGTTTAAGTAGCAGTGAGGAATCTGATGAAGAAGGATATCATAATCGTAATATGGTTAAGGGACAATCTGAACACGCTGAGAAAGATCCTCATGTCCCCAAAACCAAGGCAGCTTCCAAGAAACACAGAAATAAACGAAAAAGGAATGAGAAACAGAAATCTAAACATACTGAGAAAGATTCTGCTCAGATCCTGCAAACTAAACTACATTCCGAGAATGAGAGACATAAACAAAAATGGCTTGATGAAAAGAAGCACAAAAGTGCTAGTGAGAAGCAAACATCTGAGAAAAATTATGAGATCATCAGAACCAAATCAGCAGCAGCATCCAAGAGAGATAAAAAGAAACGAAAAAAGATTCATGAGAAGAAGAAGAAGAAGCACAGGAGTTTTGACCCTGAGAATGATGAGGAAATCTTCAAAACCACAGAAACTTCCAAGAAGGACGAAAAGGAGAAACACAAAAAGATTGATGTGAAGAAGAAGCACAAGAATCTGAGTAGTTGGAAAGATGCTGAGTTCATCAAAGATAAAGCATCTTCCAAGAAAGACAGGGACAAACACGGAGGAGGGAGTGATGATGAGGAGGAGGAAATCTTCAAAACCACAGAAACTTCCAAGAAGGACGAAAAGGAGAAACACAAAAAGATTGATGTACAGAAGAAGCACAAGAATCTGAGTAGTTGGAAAGATGCTGAGTTCATCAAAGCTAAAGCATCTTCCAAGAAAGACAGGGACAAACACAGAGGAGGGAGTGATGAGAAGCAGCATGAAAAGGTTGATGATGCTGTGGAAGTTGCTGATGTCCTCAAAACCAAAGAACATTCCAAGAAAGACAAAAAGAAACACAAAGGGGTTGGTGAGAAGAAGCACAAACGTTTCGTTGATGGCAGGACAGATTCTGAAATAATCAAAACTAAAAAAACTTCCAAGAAAGACCGAGACAAGAACAAAAGGATTGGCGAGAAGCAAAAAAGTGATGTTATTAATGGCGACAAAGATGCTGAAATTTTCAAAAACGAAGGAACACCTCAGAAAGACAGAGAGAAAAAACATAGAGGGAGTGACAACAAGCGGCACAAAAAGGTTGGTGATGCTGAGAAAGATACAGAAATCCTCAAAACTAAAGCATCTTCCAAGAAAGAGAAGAACAAGCACAAAGGGATTGATGAGGAACAACATAGTACTGAACATGCTGAGATAGATGCTGAAGTCCTGAAAACCAGATTAACTTCCAAGAAAGACAGAAAGAAACAGAAAAGGATTGGCGAGAAGCATAAAGAGGTTGATGCTGAGAAAGATTCTGAAACGCACAAAACTAAAGCGACCCCTGAGAAAGACAAAGAGAAACAAAAGGGAGTTGGTGAGAAGCAAAGAGGCGCTAGTTCTGGGGAAGCAGCAGATTCTGGAAAACAAGAAGGGGTCGCTTCTCGCCTTAGGTCTCATTCACACTCGAAGTCTTCTAAGAAGGAAGAAACACAAAGTAGTAGTAGTGAGGGTTTGGGTGTAGGGTCTTCTGTTGGTGAGGACAGACAAGGTGGCGATGATGATGATTTGGAGAAAGAAAATGAAGAAGAAAAAAAGGATGTGGTGACCCAAACGACTGGAACGAGTGAGAGGAAGCAACCCCGGAGAAACCTTGACGTCAAGAACATTCTTTTAAACACAATGTTAGAGAACGAAGGCAAGTTTAATGAGACAGTTCCCCTTGCTGAGGAGAATATCCCAAAGCAGCTGCCATTGAAGTTCACATTTTATGAAGATAATGAGGCTCCTGACAAGGAAGAATGGGAGTTTGAGATTGACAATCTCTTTGCGGATTTTCAAATGGGCCGTCTGCAATCTGAGATCGGGTCAACTGCTAAACCCATGGTTAGTTTACTTGTACTTTCGTCAAACCATTTAATAATTTTATTGTTGCACGTCTGGAAATTGTGTTTGCCAAGCATTAATGGTTCTCGTTATCCGTTTTCATGTTTTGCTACACAATGTCATGATCATAGCAGTTACAAGTCGAAGATGTTAAATATATTAGTGTTTTATTTGACACATCATGTGTGGATTTTAGTTTTTTTTTGTGCAATGTGTGGATTTTAGTTAATTATGAACATGTGTGTACATCTATGCCTATTTATGTATACTTGTGAAGACTATGATGATTATCTCCTTCCATTTGCATGCATTTACTGCTGACATTTATCAGCAAGCCTTAATATCCCTGCCATCATTTTAGTGAAATTCCTCATACTATGGAACTAAGCAGAATGTCAAAAGAAAAACTAGTCTTTGATTCTTTCTGTGCCAACAGTTAGCAATTATTTTAGGGGAGCGGAAAGGTGGGTTGGTTGGGGGAACTTTTATGGGATTGGATGGAGGAGTGTTAGTCTTGGGCTAGAGAGTTATATGTTCAGGTAATAATGTATTTCTATACAATCATTCATATTCATTCTCTTTCCAACCATGTAAACTTCCCCTTGTTAACCATACAAGGGTTGAAAAAAGCACGGGAAAATGGCGCTTTTAGTGTTTCAGCGTTTTGTGATCTTGGACATGCCTTGCTCTTAAAATTAAGAGGCTACCCAGCATTTTAGAACAGTGTAGTTGATAGGGCATATAAGAAACTTCTTGATGTATTTATGCTGCTGTATTTCTACATTTCTGAAATGAAGCATTAAGTGTGGTGGTGTATATGAGTTTGTAATGCACACGGCACATGTGTTTGTGCTTGTAATGTTTTGCTTCCAGGATGGGTGGGGATTGGGGAATATAAAACAACACACGTTGTTAATTATCCTTTTCAGTACATTTATCTATTAAAAGGGAAAGTGTGTTGATGGTCATCAATCATAAAGTAGTAATGGAAGATGATTGATGCATCCACCCTTTCCGCATTCTGAAAACATAGAGCTAGCGAGAGAGCAAGCTAATTATGGGTAAAATGTGAAGTCTTGATGGAACATTTATATATCTTTGGTGATGGATAATCAATCAGGTAGCAAACAAAATTGCTGATGATGCACAACCCTGTTGGCATCCAGAAGGGCATCTTCATATCCTGGATGAACAAATCGGAATCTTGTGCAAGCATTGCTCTGTGGTGTTCTTGGAAAGCAAGCACATATTACCAGAATTTGTAAGTGGGGGGGGGGTCAATGGGAGCAAATGTGCACTAGTTGAATAAATTTGCTAGTGGCTAACTAATACTTGCTATATACAATAATGAATAGGCCGGGGGGATGGTTAATGGATAATGTGCCATAGGGACTAAATGAATGCATGGTTGGTGGTGGTGGTTTGTGCAGGCAAAAAGACCAACAAGTTGCAGGAGGAATGAGCGGGGGAGATTTAATCATCTCTACGGAGAAGCAGAGCAGTCGGTGGGGGATATGGAGCTGGATAACATGCCAAGAAACGACCCAACCTCCTCCTCATTTCACAGAGCTGGAACAGTATGGGACCTTATCCCCCACCACATAAAAGCCAGAATGTATCTCCACCAACGCCAGGGCTTGGAGTTCATATGGAAAAACATAGCGGGCGAGCTGGTCCTGGAGAAGCTGCAAGATCTAAGCAGCGGTGGGAGAGGATGCATCATCTCGCATGCACCCGGAACGGGCAAAACGGGTCTCACTGTCGTCTTCCTCCAATCATTCATGAAACTCTTCCCGCTGTGCCACCCCGTCGTCATCGCCCCACGCAGCATGCTTCTCACCTGGGAAAGCGAGTTCAAGAAGTGGGACGTGGACATCCCTTTCCACAACCTCAACAGCCGCAGCCTGTCGGGGAAGGAGGACGTGGAGGAGGTGCACATCCTTAGAAGGAAGGGGAAGGACATGAACCGACTGTTGAAGCTGTATTCTTGGGCCAAAGGGTCCGGAATCCTGGGGATCACGTACCGCCTTTTCGAGCAGCTGGCGGGAGGGACTTCATGCGAGGAAGAAGACGAGAAGATGAGAAAGATCCTGCTCAAGTTTCCGGGGCTGTTGGTTCTGGACGAAGGGCACACCCCGCGGAACGAGGAGAGCCTCGTGTGGAAGGCGCTATCCAGAGTGGAGACGCCACGCCGGATCATCCTCTCCGGGACTCCATTCCAGAACAACTTCCACGAGCTGTACAATACATTGTCACTGGTATGTCCGGAGTTCACAGTGGGGTCCACGCCCGGGGGCGTCGGGTCTAGTGACCCAAAGAAGAAACAGCAGCAGCAGCAGCTCACGCGGAAGGGGATCCGTAAAGGTACGTTACGTTCGTATACAATAATAGCTAGATTTGTACGTAGTGAATACATGGATGGATCGGTTGCACACGTACGTGCGCTGCATTAATCTAAAACAATATTTTATAACTTCTTTCCTTCCAAAATACTGTATAATAAAGGCTGATACTTTAGATTAAAAACAAATGAATATATATATATATATACTAGCTAGCTAGCTAGTATATGAACATAGATAGATAGATATATAGATAGATAATGCATGAAAAAATGATGAATATATATATGCATGCATGCTGCAGGAAGAGAGAACTGGGCATCAATAACGGGGTCGATCTTGAACACGGAAAACGAGAGGAACGTGGAGGAGCTGAGGCGGCTGATCGGGCCGCTGGTGCACGTGCACAAGGGAACGATATTGCAGGAGAAGCTGCCGGGGCTGATGATCTGGCAGGTGTACTTGAAGCTGACCCCGACCCAGCAGAAGCTGCAGAAGATGATCTGCAGCAAGAAGTTCATGGAGCAGGACAACTGGATGACCCTGATATCGGTGCACCCTTCCCTGGCCCCGGAGGGCGAGGCGCGGGGGGTGAATGAGCTGGACCCGGGGGAGGGGGTGAAGACGAGGTTCGTGGCGGAGCTGGTGAGGGCGAGCGAGGGGCGGGGCGAGAGGGTGATCGTGTTCAGCAGGCTGCTGGAGCCGCTGACGCTGATCCGGAGGCAGCTCCAGGGTGAGTTCCCGGGGTGGGGCGACGGGCGGGAGGTGCTGTACATGGACGGGAAGATCGACGCCAAGTACCGGCAGGAGCGGATCGGGTCTTTCAACGACCCGGAGAGCGAGGCGAAGGTGCTGCTGGCGTCCACGGCGGCGTGCTGCGAGGGCATCAATCTCATCGGCGCCTCCAGAATCGTGCTTCTTGACGTGGTGTGGAACCCGTCGGTGACCAGGCAGGCCATCAGCCGGGCCTACCGCCTGGGGCAGACCAAGGTCGTCCACGTCTATAACCTCATCTCCTCCTCCTTCGAGGCCAACAAGTACGCCTGCCAGGCCAAGAAAGACAGGATGTCTGAGCTGGTTTTCACCGCCGATCATCCTGATCATCCTGATCACCACCACGACGCCGTGCCCGCCGATCAAGACCTCATCTTGGGCGCCATGCTCCAGGATCATTCTTTGTCCACTATGTTCCACAAAATTGTGCGCCAGCCCAAGAATCACCAAATGTTGTGGCCCGAGTTTACCAACTAACTCATTGCCCCCCTACGTACGCACGCACGCTACAATCATCAACAAATTAGTCACTGTATGTATAATTTATTTGACATCTTGCGTGCTGTACGTAACGTACATTCATTATATTATAATCTAGGCCTGGGATCGGTTCGGTTCTTGTTAAAATTCGATGGAACCGTATAAAAATCGTAGGCGTTAAATTCGGTTCGGTTCTAGTTAAAAATGTAGTTGTTAAATTCGGTTCGGTTCGGTTCTTTTTTCGGTTCCTAACAAAAATTTACTACTATCCTCCTGAAATGAACACACTTCAGTTACATACAAAATTCAAATTTTAAATCACGAAATTATGACCATTACATTATAAATGCATGATATCTCAATGTTCAAATATCCAAAGACATATCTAAGTACAACATTAAATTTAAACATAACAAAAATCTCGATTTAAAATAGGCATCAACTGTCAAGCAAAAAGGTTCAATAGCCCCAGAGTACACATCCAATAGCAGGTAGTTCAACCACAAAATAATATTCATCTTCTAGTAATGCACAATAAGTAAAAACTACGTAGTAATAAACAACGTAATCAACAGAATGTTAATTCTTTTTTGTAGTGAACTCCAATAACAAATTCAATTACAAAAAGAAAAAAAAATATAAAAAATGGACTAAAGTATTAAAATGATAACTACTCGGATTGGCGTGGTCCACAATATATAAGGTATATTGTTGAGCCCCTAATAATTGGGCCACCGAGTTGATTAAATAGACATAGCCCAAGATGAAGAAAGTCCGATTTTGGAATATAAGTCAACAAATCGGATAAGACTGAATAAATGAGGAGCGTCCAACTAGCAGGTAATGGCTAACTAATAGGAGCTATTTCGCCGGGCAGTTGAAGTGATGATCGTGAAGGAGCAATTTAAATATATGTAGACTAGCAACTAACAAGGGGATTACGACCTTTCTGATAAAGCTAATCTCCATTATTGTATTCACAAAAGAGGTCATTTATATTACTCTTCTTAACCGAACAATTATTCTCAAGCTATCTGGTATCCTTGTATTTACAGATTCAAGCTCACAAATATAATATATAAATTTCCGATTATTTCTTTAAATTCCTTCTTGTGCGATTCCCACTTCATTATTTTGATTGTTAGAAGAAATTATCAATTTCTTGCCTAAACATATATTATGCAAGAATAATATTCTTGACATGAACTTTTTGCCCGGAACGCCGTCTGACCGCCTTTATTTGAGGTAACTCCGTGAAGATTTTTTTGATAAAGTTTTGTGAGCATGTTCTACATGAAATGTAGATTACATATACCAAATTTCAGCTTAAAATTCAACCGGGAAGTGAGTTAAATAAAATATTGAAAAAATTGCGTTTTTTTATATATTTTGGCGTAATGTTTTTCAGTAATTTATTTAACTAACTTCCCGATTGCATTTTAAGCTCAAATTTGGTGGATATAATCTTTATTTAATAGAAAACAACCTCACAAAATTTCATCGAAAAATTCCACCCGGAAACACCTCAAATGAAGATTACTCATGCAGTGTATGAGAAGTTCGGTTCTTGGCCAGGAACCGGAACCGAACTGGAACCGAACCGGAACCGAACCGATGAAAGACTATAGGAACCAAACCGAAAAAAAGTGAAGTTCAAAATTATAGGAACCGAACCGAATCGGAAATTTCGATTCGGTTCGGATCGGTTTTCCCGGTTTTCGGTTCTAAGTCCCAGCCCTATTATAATCAAGGGAAAATTATGATGTATTTTGCATTTTCAAAACCCAATCACTTACCGTTCAATTTGAATCATTCTCTTTCTTGCCCCCGTCTTAATACTTTTTTATTGTAAAAAACTGACTGTAATATTATAATTGAGAACACATACAAGATAAACTTCAAACAAAATTTACAGATCCAATCGTGAATCTTAGGAGTAGACTTAGAATCAACCACCTTATACAAAGCAACATGATTTTCTAAACCCGAAACGGAAAAATTTAGGCCTAAAACGATCAGAAATCCAGAACTGAAACCCTGTCCATAAAAAGAATCCCAACAATCCAAACATTAAAACAAATCTACTCAGACTAAAAAAGAAACAATTGCAACTGAAGAGAAAATAATGCTGAAATAAAATTTTTCCACAAATCTATTCTTGGTATGAATGTGGTTTCGAAGGAGGACGAGCTCTTGCAATATGGGTGAATACCACCGTCACCATGGCTACCAAGGATTCACGTTCCAATACAACCTTTCACCCGCACCTCGTTCATCCGCCTACGTTATCTCCTCCGACGTATAGTAGTTGCAATCCCAAACGTTAGAACACTTAAAATCACTATAATCTGCCGCTCCAATCCCATATTGATATAGGTGGCGGAAAATCTCAACCTCTACAAAGAGGGGAGACGGCCATTAGGGTTTATCTCTCTAGAGAGAAGAGAGAGTTCGTGATTGCCCTCCATGTTAATATTTGTTAAATCCAATTTAATATAACTCTTACATTCAACGAAAAGTGTATAAAATTAATTTTTAAAGTAAAACACAAATTGTTATCATAATTATAATGTATTTATCTACTTAGCTACTCTATCAAGGAATAAATATTATTGAGTGTAGTTAAGGAACAATACCCGCAAGTAAGATATAAAATATTATGAATTTTAATATTCTTCTTTTAAAAAATTAAATATCATCTAATCTTATAAAACTAATAAACTTTTTACTGTATAAACACTTTTGTGAAGATAAAATCATCACAAATTAGTAACAGATGTAATAAAAAATTTAAATATATCAAAATATATGATATTTTAAGTCTTAGATTGATAACTTTCCATTATTTAGTTCATATATACATTCTATCTTTTAGGTCCCTTATTGATACTAGACCTATCTTTTAGATCATCAAATGATAAAGTTCCTTTTTTTAATATTTCTTCTTTGTTACACACGAAAGAAATGTCATTGAAATTAATTCATCTGAATGAATTACAAATAAGATTTTTATATTCATGATGAGAAAGTGTCAAGAATTTTCATAACACATTTTTAAACAACTTTCTTTGATGTATCTCATGAATACTACTTGCGAGTCTTCTCCTTAACTACTCTCATTAATAGTTATTCCACGATCGAGTAGCTAAATAGAGAAATAATGATAAACAAAAATGACTTATTATTATGATAATAAATTGTATTATACTTGAAAAATTAATTTTATAAACAACTTTCATTCAATTCAAGAGTTATATTAAATTTAATTTAATAAATAGGGAAAATCGCAGTTTTGGTCCCTGAAATAGTCATCATATTGAAATGTCAGACCTGTATTTCACATATTGTAAATGTCACCCCCCTCAATTGTCCAAATTGTTGTAAATGTAGTCCTTTGAGGGGAATGTCACCCCTCAATTATCCAAATTGTTGTAAATGTGGTCCTTTGAGGGGTGAAATGTATTCCTCGCTCACGTTGTACAATTCAACTCTCAAAGGACCACATTAACAACAATTTGGACAATTGAGGAGTGACATTTATAAACACGGGAACACGGGTCTAACATTTCAAAATGATGACTATTTGAGGGACTAAAAATGTGATTTTCTCTAATAAATATTAACGTGAGGGGGCATATAGCTAGTGAAAATGATCAAAACTCAGGGAGTAACTAATCGATTTTTGAAAGTGTACGATTGAATTATTTAATAATTATGACATAACTTCAGGGGCTAATAGTAATTTTCCCTGTAATTAACATAAGATGTTTTTTTAATTCTTGTATATACCTCAACTAGTATAGTACCCGTGCATACGCACGGGAAAATAATCGATGGATATACTTGCAATCATGATCTAATTAATTGGAGAAGAAAAGAATTTCAAAAAACTGCATTTCTTCTTAAAAGCAAGAACAACATGTCAATATCATAAAGTGTAAGTTAATAAAATAAATATTAAATAAAATATTAAACTTACGTGTTAAAGATTTTGGAAAACCTCTTTGAATACAACATTCGTAGTAGTGTCTAATGATTTTCCATCCCTATCATGTATTAAAATCTTCAATCCATGTTTGCTCTGAACTCTTGACAATGCCACATACAATTGTCCATGACTAAAAACAGGTCTAGGCAAGTATAATCCAACTCTTTCCAGTGACTGTCCTTGAGATTTATTGATTGTCATCGCATATGAGACCATTATAGGAAATTGTCTTCTTATAAGTTTAAAAGGCCATGGTGATTGAGAAGGAGACATACACATTCGAGGTATGTAAATCTCATCTCCATCATTGCCTTCAGACATGATTCTTGCTCCAATGACATGATTTCCCAGTCTTGTGACAATCAATCTAGTTCCATTACATAGTCCTTCTGACTGGTCTATATTTCTTAGCAACATTACTGGAGTTCCAACCTTAAGTCGTATGTTGTGATTTGGGAGACCTGATGTTCTCAAGGAATTGAGAAACTCTGGTGTCAACGCTTCAAATGCTTCTGCTTCAACTACATCCGACTTGTCTACAGAATCGCAACTTAAATATTCTCTTTCTTCACCTGTAGTTATAAAAGTTCGGTAGTCTTAATTTAATCATTAAGTTTTTTTAAGAATTTATTTTGTAAGTAAATAAGTAAATTAGCTTTTTTATAATATTACCTGGGAGCGTTGAAAGAACATAGTCGTTAATTTTATCGACAATTTCAATAGTTGATGCCAAGACAGCTCTAGACTTAAGAAATTCCTCATTTTTGTATTGCTCCAGCAAGTTCGGATATGTGCTACGGACTATTGCATCTATTGGATCATCAAATTCTTTAATCAAGAATTCATCTGGAATCTTTATTTCTGCATAACCATCGTTTGGCTCTGATATTTTTCCATCTCCCACATCCAATATCCATTTTGAAAATTCTTTGAGCTCAGTAGCACTTGTCATATCCAAATTTTTTTGGAGTCGCATATTTTTAGTAAGAGACAATACCTATCAATAAACAAAAAAAAAATACTTATATTTGAATATAACTTATATAGTAATTACTAAAAAAATTTATAAAGTGATTATTTGAAATAGTTAAACAATTAGGGTCTGTTTGCAACAGCTTCTACTTTAAAAAAAGTGTCTTTTTAATGAAATGGGGAGAAGTGATTAAATAAAAGTTGATAACGTTTGAAAAAAAAGTGATTTTGAAAAGTAAAAGTTGATAGTGTTTGGTAAAATAAGTGCTTTTTGTGTAATAGAAAAAGTAAAAGCACTTTTGACACGAAAGCCGGGAAAAATAAAAGTTGTAGTGTTTGGTAAAAGAATTGCTTTTTTAAGCCAAAAGCTGAGAAGTTCTTTTTTTAAAGTGGTTGCAAACCAACCCTTAATATAATTACTTGTACTTTATTTAAACTAAAAGCGAACGAATGAACAATTTTTTTAAAGTTTTTTAGGTTAGTTATTTTGGTATATTGTGGTAAAATGAATTTGTAAATTATAGTAACAGTAAACATATTGGTTGTGGTACTAAAATGGAGTTATTACCTGACAGTCATCCCATAGATATGAAGAATTGATTGTAGCATTAACAATGTCTGAACGGCTTCCTCCAGGAATAACTGGTAAAGTTTGTCTGAAGTCTCCTCCAAAGACAATCACTCTTCCTCCGAATGGTGAAATAGAATCACCATCATTGTTGATGATGTCATTTAGGCTTCTGTCTAGTGCTTCAAAACAAAATCTATTAGCCATTGTTGCTTCATCCCAAATTATCAACTTAGTTTGTTTTAAAAGCTCTGCAAGTTCACTCCCTTGATGTATATTGCATGTAGAGTTCTCTAGAGTCGGAACTGGGATTGAAAATTTAGAGTGTGCAGTTCTACCGCCAGGTAAGAGTAGAGAAGCAATACCACTGGATGCAACAGTTAAAACAATATGACGCTGAGAACGTAAGGCAGAAGCTAATGTCCTCCACATAAAGGTTTTCCCTGTACCACCATAACCATATAAAAAGTATACCCCGCCTTTTTGGTTAGTCACAGCTTCCATTATTGTGTCAAATATGCCTTTTTGTTCATCTGCAATATTAGCATCAAAATATATGCATGAAATCATTTTTCTTTTTGACAGTCAAATTCATTTAATGTGACTTATAAATAATATGAATTGCATTTATCTTACCTGTAAGAGAAGCATACAAAGTTTGGAACTCCTCACGCAACTTGGATGTATCATAATCACGTTCTGCATAAATAAGCCTATTTCCTAGTTGTTCCGTGATATATCCATTTGGATATGGTATTGAGGGATAGTCTTTTAGACTTTTTCTCTTTTTTTGCATCAACTTCTCAATCTCCAGAAGAGTTAAATTTTGCAACTCTTGATCACTTAACTGTAAATCTACAAATGTAATAAACACAATTAAATTAGTAATTAGAAGAAGATGTTCATGTGTATGTGTCTACTTTCATTATGTTTTTATTGTAAATAGTTTAATTTGTCACAGTGATGCAAATGAATGACAACGGGACATGCAGACAATTAAAATTATGAAATATTTTTATTTGAATATATTCCTTTATCCAAATGAATGACAAATTATATGTTACTTGATAGGTGAAATAAATTATATGTTACTTGATACTTGAAATTATTTTAATACTTAAGATAAGAAAAGATGATTGAAGTAATCTAGAAATGACGTAAATTTATGGTAATAGGAAATAGTTAATTTTATAAATTACTAATTTTTATACTTATATAATTAGTGGGAATTTAGAAAGAGTATCACATATCTGCTAAAGTAATCATATATACTTTGTGTTCTCTATTCGAATTCAAATATAAAGTGAATGGAATTTAGTGTAACACTTTTACTCACAAATCTTATATTTTTTTCGGTAGGGTAGGCCTCATGAAGAACTTGTCATTTTACAAATGATTAGTGAAAATTTAATTTTTAATTGATCGGTGGTCTACCTTGGATATTTGAGAGTCTTCGTTGTTGATACAAAATTCCATCTGCCAACCACTGCCAAGTTTGTTCCCATACATGCTCAGGTCTGCTTACGGGACACGATAAGAGCAGAGTTACAAACAATTTTCTCAAGTAGTGCCCTGATGCCCAGTCCTTAACTTCTTTTAATGCTGCAATATATTCTTTATCATCCCCAAGCAATCCTGCCGCAAAACATGCTTCTCTAAAGGTTGGATATTGAATGTTGGCAACTGTCCTAATATCCTCATAACAACATGGCCCCTTTATTACAGTGAGCATCATTCTTAAATAGAATAATTCACCTGTGGTTGGAGGTACCCAAATGAGTCTACCAATAGTGTAACCCTTTGTTCTCGGTTTCCAGCACCTCTTGCTAGCTACATACGCAAATCGTGAAACGAATTTTGCATAGGTCAAATCTTTTCCTTCAGGATAGATTTTGTTTGCTTGCATCCAAGATGTAAACATTGATTCTTTAACAGTTGTTTTTGTTAGAACCGAATCCAGGTTGTCATTGTCACTAAAGAACACAGACTGCTCATTGGGAAGGTGAAAGAAAAGCCTTTCAACTGCTGGAGACCTACCATGAATCGGAAAAGAAAAAATCCTCCAACAGGCCTCACAAGGTGAGACATACCTACAATCAAGATATTGCTTGATCTCATCAATATTCTCATTTTGTGGAGACTCATCATCGCGTGTTGGAACAATAACTGCTGTAATCCGATCATATCCTTTGTTGATATATTTGAATAAGTATTTGATCGAAGTGCTTTGATTACACCATTCCATGTTGATATGGGCTTGGTACTTTAACAGCAATTTTGGATTATAAGGCACTACATGACGATTGTCTAAGATAATATCAGATTTTTCTATTTCCCTTCCATTTTGTCTTCTCCTATAGATAGGATAACCATCTTCGTCAAGTGTCGTGAATTCCTGAAACATTGTAAATGTTATGTATTTCTATTTAAAAGTAATGAGAATAATCTTAACTTAATACTTCTAAGCACCACTAATGTCATTACTTTGATAGAGTAAGTTTAACAGATAATAGTAAAAAAATGTGATGTTATTTTTTATTATCATATATGTATAAATTGTATGTGTTGTTAAAGTTAGGAATTGATGTTTAGTTTGTAGTATTAGTCTACAGTGTTATAGTGTATAAGTTTTGATTTATTTTTCATGAGGGACCTACATGCTTAAAATTAATAGTAGTGACCATATAAAAGTCACATTTTTTTCAAGAAGAATAGTCAATACTACATTCATTTATTAATTAGTACTTCGTAATATTTTAATCTAATTATCTATCATTCATTAGCAAATGTATGAAAATATTACGGCGATAGAATTTAATTTATCTTTTTGTAAATATTTAAATGGTAATATCTCAAATATATCTTAAGTAAATGTGTGTATGCATATATATTGCTTTTGGGAAGCGATCATATATAGAACAAAATAAGATCACACTTAAACTGATCAGACCAATTAAAACTAAACTTGCCTGGAATTGCTTAGGATAATACTTGTTGCATTTCCTATCCTGCATGCATGGCGAAGAAGGGTTCGCTGAACCACATGGACCATGAATCATGTGAGTTTTAACCAAGTTGTATAATTCTTTCTCAGACTCTTGATCAGGTATCTCTGCTGAGATAATCCTATCAATATCATCGGCAGTTGGGTACTTGTTCGAAGGATGCAAAAAAATGAGTATATGACCATGCGGCAGTCCTCTTTTTTGGAACTCGATTGTATACATATCTGGAAATAAATTAGCAAATTATAATTTTAGAATAAATGAATTGCAACAGTAAATGTGTAGTGTGAATAAGAAATATGTAATGTATCCATATTTAAAACTTACATGCAAGAACTTTCCCGAATATATGTCTTTTCCTTAAATCTGTTAATAACTCTTCAAACTTGATCCTAAAGACCCTTGCAAGAATATCAGGACGATCATGTGGCTTCAAGTTTAATGGTTCAAGTACTCTCTGAATCTCAGGCCAGTTGGGATTGCAAGTGAATGTGATAAAGAAATCAGGAAAGCCAACAAAACCGCAAATTGCCATACCATCGAAGTAAAGTTGATCCATGTATCGGCGACTTCCTACAAATGTCGATGGTAGTACAATTCTTTTTCCCTTTTCAGATCCTTGACATTGTAAGTCGTTATTTGGTTGAGTGAGGTTACTGTATTTATCAACTCTTAGCTTTTTTTGGTTTCTCCTTATAAAAGATAACCTCTCTGACTCAAGCATAGCATATCCGTCAACCACAAACTGTTGAAATAATCTTCTTGATCTCAACAATGTGAGTGCTTCTTTTTTTCTGGTTTGGAGTCTAAAACAAAGCCACTCCCTTATGGTAAGACGGTTTCTTTTAGAACTATTAGAATTACCTGTATCTCTATGAAGCACGTCATGCCTATATCCATCCTCACCATAAGGAAATAAAAGAGGATATTGATAACTCAAATAGCTAGTATGCAATTCACTGATTCGCTGAAGTGTACGACTTCGCGTCTCCATTATTATGTCCCTTTTTGATGAAGTGTTAACATCTCCAACAATAAGAGCAGCAACTTCTGAAACCGTTGGCAGATTATATACTCGACCATCGCTAACTCTGTCAGAAATCAACTTTAGTCGTAGATCTCGCACAGGTGCATCTTGCAATCTTTCCTTAGCCATCCTAAATGATTTTGCGTGCACATTGTATTGGTGTAGCATCGCTGATAATTTGCACACAATCTCTTCATTTATGTCATTTCGATTTCTACAAAAGACATCAAATTTAATTGAATAATCACATATAATGAGAAGTAATAATTTAATAAATTTGTATGTAGTGTATGTTGATAAAATTAATGCATATGCTAACCTTATTCCTCGAATCCTGTTTTCTATCTCATGCTCAGTATCATATATGTATAACTGAGCAAACTTTGGATGTTGACCTGGCATAGGTAACATGCTTCCCACTCGATGGCATGTTTGGCCCTGTATTTTGAATGTCGGCGGGCCTCGACCATCGTTGACGGACTTGTCAATTCTTGCACCAGGCGATGTGAATGCAAACATCATATTGTACACTCTAATATGTTGTTGATAGTTTTTGCTATCAACATCGTTATCAAATAAAAGATGCTGGAGAAGCATAGGGGGATCCTTAAGCAGTGGCAATTGAACTTTTCCCTTTCTACAACAAAGATTATACTTTGGTGACACAGTGTCTCTATGTTTGTCAGTTCTTTCTTGATACCACATGCATGCCTTGCATTTGTCGCACTGAATAAGTGGATCTCCAATATCAAAGTATCCTAGAAAGAATTTAAATTTAATATAAATATTACACAGTGGTTAGTATGAGTTAAATTATATTAAATTATTTAATTAATACCTTGACCCAAATTAAATTCTGTAGTGTTTTCATGAGTATCGGGTAACTCTTCACTTGAACTGATGTCATCATCGGGAGCTAAACCTGTTTGAAAATAATGCTCAATAAGTATATGAAATTATTGTGGTGTTAGTTATAGTGATGATAAAAACTTATCATTTACCTTCGAATTGATCAATATCACTATCAGAATCAATTTCTTGATTTACTTGTGGATCATATGTTTCATGTATGCTCACACTTTGATTTGAATTTAATGCTTGAGTTTGGTTCGTGTAACATGTGCCTTGAGCTGATGATGGTGAAATTGTTTTGCAAGGATTATGCCCATCAACTTCATTGTCAAACATAAGAGCATCCTCTGAAAATTTGGTCAATAGATTCACACCCAAAGAATCCAAATTGGTGGCTATTCTTTTTCTCTTTGGTTGATTTTGGAGCACACTTAATTGTGTGTTGAAGTAAGGGCCACTCGAGATTGCATTTGTTGAGGTTCCCGCTTGTTTGTTAGCAGCGACATTTGTATGAGAATGCTGATCTCGAATAGTGCATGCTGTATCAAAAGCTAAAAAGATTTAATATTGAATAAATATGATTAACATGTATATAAAACTAATATGATTTCGCTATCCCATGAACATGTTAGTTGATGAAAAAAGTATTATCAAAGTATATCCAATTTATTATCGTTTACGAATATGTGTTCAAAAGCAAACATTTGTATGCATTTGTGCTCAAATTTGTAATATATTTTTAATATTCTATAAATATCATATAATTGTATTATCATATATGAGTTTCACAATATACACAGCTAAATAGAATATCAGTGTTTCGCAGTTGACTGCATATGTTTTTTTGTATACCTCCACTTTGAAATTGGTATCCATGTTTTTCTTGTAAAGAAGATCTTCTTTTGGAATGTGATTCTTTAGTCGCATCCCCTTTGGCTGTTTGGTTGCTCCCACTGTGAAAACGTAAGAATATGATAAAAATTAAATTTAATTTAATTTTTATTTATAAGTCTTATATGAAGCTGTAATTTTGTGTTATTAATTACCTTCCGTTTAATATGATTTTTGTGATGTTAGAGAGTGGAAGGTAATGGCCTGCTGAAGTGTCCATGGTATTTGCATCGACACTTGTGTGAAGGGCAGGAGTATAACAGTACTCTGCTGTGTGGTTATAAAAATAAATAGTAAATTTAGTAATTGGCATAGGAAATAGTTAAATAGAACAAATGTTATAATAAAACATGCATGTAATAACTGGTTATTTGTACCATAGTTTGGCAGCCCACTTTCGTTTGATGTCCCTACACTTTTTTTGCCTTTGGTATCTACATCTTGTGAAGAACCTTCGACGCTCTTGTTTGTACGGAAACCTTAAAAGTTAAAATGATTTGAATATTACTTGTATATAGCAATGTAGAATATAGCAGGAGGTAGATATTTTGTAGTTGGACTTAGTTAGATATGTCTTGTTGATTGCGACTATGAATTTACCTCTCCTTCTTTCATCTAGAATATATCTCCTTCTGAGACGTGCTCTTGCTGCCTCGTTCCTTTTATGTTTTGAGTAAACATGTTATAAACACTTGAGAGTTATAGTATTATTATATTTAAACAATAGTTTGTAGATGATAATCGAGCGATCATTTACCTTTTAATGAGGGAAGAACTTGTGTGGTCTAGCAATGCAGTACTTAATTGTGTGTTGATATAAGGACCATTCGAGATTGCATTTGTCGTGGTTCTCGCTGCTTTGTTAGCAGCGACATTTGTATGAGAATGCTGATCTCGAATAGTGCATGCTATATGAAAAGCTAATAAGATTTAATATTGAATAAATGTGATAAACATGTGTATAAAGCTAATATGATTTCACTATTCCATGAACATGTTAGTTGAGGAAAAAAGTATTTTCAAAGTATATCCAATTTATTATCGTTTATTAATATGTGTTAAAAAGCATACATTTGTATGCATGTGTGCCCAAATTTGTAATAATTTTTAATATTCTATAAATATCATATAATTGTATTATCATATATGAGTCTCATAATATACACAACGAAATAGAATATCAGTGTTTCACAGTTGACTGCATATGTATTTTTGTATACCTCCCCTTTGAAATTGGTATCCATGTTTTTCTTGTAAAGAAGATCTTCTTTTGGAATGTGATTCTTTAGTCGCATCCCCTTTTGCTGTTTGGTTGCTCCCACTGTGAAAACGTAAGAATATGATAAAAAATAAATTTATTTTAATTTTTATTTATAAGTCTTATATGAAGCTGTAATTTTATGTTATAAATTACCTTCCGTTTAATATGATATTTGTGATGTTAGAGAGTGGAAGGTAATGGCCTGCTGAAGTGTCCATGGTATTTGCATTGACACTTGTGTGAAGGGCAGGAGTATAATAGTACTCTGCTGTGTGGTTATAAAAATAAATAGTAAATTTAGTAATTGGAATAGGAAATAGTTAAATAGAACAAATGTTACAATAAAACATGCATGTAATAACTGGTTATTTGTACCATAGTTTGGCAGCCCAATTTCGTTTGATGTCCCTACACTTTTTTTGCCTTTGGTATCTACATCTTGTGAAGAACCTTCGACGCTCTTGTTTGTACAGAAACCTTAAAAGTTGAAATGATTTGAATATTAATTGTATATAGCAATGTAGAATACAGCAGGAGGTAGATATTTTGTAGTTGGACTTGGTTAGATATGTCTTGTTGATTGCGTTTATGAATTTACCTCTCCTTCTTTCATCTAGAAAATATCTCCTTCTGAGACGTGCTCTTGTCGCCTCGTTCCTTTTATGCATGTTTTGAGTAAATATGTTATGAACACTTGAGAGTTATAGTATTATTATATTAATCCAATAGTTTGTAGATGATAATCGAGCAATCATTTACCTTCTAATGAGGGAAGAACTTGTGTTGTCTAGCAATGCAGTAGTTCCTATGGATTCCCTTGTAACTACATTTGTTACTGCATTCACAAAAAATGTGAAATGAAGGTACGAAAGTATTTAATAAGAAAATAAAATTTTGTTTATACCCTTATTTAATTCTTCATTGTTGTCCCTTATTACTTCTCTTGCATGTAGAATGGATTTTCTTTTGCGACGTACTTCCGCTGCATCCATTTTTATTCGTGCTCTGCAATGCAAACATATTAGAAAATAACAAAACTAAACTGCTACAATTTTTTAGTTAGAAGATTCATTTTGCGATTATGTAAAATATATTCCAGTCTAATTTGAATATAAATAACAAAGTGCACTATTTGTTGGGGAAAGTAAGAAAGCGGTACTTAGTCTTATTTACTTTTTTTTGTGTTGGATTACACCTGTTTTGACCAATTTCTTAAATAAGATTGGTAGAAGTCTATAGTTGTACTGGTGGTATTTATTTGTGTTCTAACGTCTGTGTGGGTAAGTAACAAAATTGCTAAAAAAAATTGCACAATATATATATATATATATATATATATATATATATATATATATATATATATATATATATATATATTCTTGAATGATTGAATATAAAAAAAAAAAAAGAATGATTGAATAAATCATACTTAAAATTCTGGTTTGGACTCTCTTAATGGATCCGCCGTCTAAAATGCACCCATTTGAGGTGGTTTTTGGGTGATTTTTTAAATATATTTTGTGAGAGTGTTTTTCATAAAGTATTCAGAAATTTACAGCTCAAAAAATTAATTGGGAAGTGAAATAGTTCAATAAATTATTGAAAATAACTGCACCAACATGTTAATGCTAGAATCAAGATCTCCATTAAATAGACGGGGTATTAGCCTGCTCTTCTGAAGTTATGTGTTTATATCATATATGACATGCAATTATGTAAATCTGCAAGAAATTTGATTCCTTTAAGAGACAAATAATAATATCACTTGGTCTTAACATTGGATTCAATAAATTTTCTTTCAATAGTGCTAATGATGTTCATCACTCCATTCTTCAATATAAATACTAAAGTCATACTCTAAAAATATAATGTTAAACTATGAGACCTTGGTTGGTAAAATCCTATAAGTTTTTAACGTCTTTTGACTCTTGATATTTTGTTTTAGAGTAACTTTGTGTATGTTTGCACAAATATCAAATGAAACCATACATAATTGGAAGTTTGTAATCAGCCTGTTAAATTTGTGTGGTTCGGTTAGAATTATCACACTACAAAAAAACAACGATTTCGGCACAGATTTGACATGGAGCTTTGGCACGGATATGCCAAAATTCGTAGGGTATTTGGCACAGATTTGGCACGAATGCGTTAAATCCGTGCCAAATTCCGTGTCAAAGTCGTTTTGTCACCATCTATTTGGCACGGCGCTGTGCCAAAAATAAGTTACAGTCCGTGCCAAACTCGCCCAATCCGTGCCAAGTCCGTGCCTATTTCGATGTTTTTTTGTAGTGTCAAGCACGAACTTAAATTAAGCACTTCGTAGTAAGTAATCTATCTGTTCGAAATTTTAGGTATTGTTTTGAGATGATTGAAAGAGATATTTTGTTGGATTGTGATCAAAGTGCAACCCTACAGAGTGTATACATAAGATGTTAACCTAACAACTAAGAGTCAAACTTTTTAGTAAGATAAAAAACATAACCTTGAGACCCAAACGTGCACCAGCCATGGTAAAACTTTATCATTTCATTTGTACATCTGAGTCCCTGTCTTTCTTTTGGTTGGCCATGGTTTAATTTTTTGCTGAAAAGAATGGCGAAGTACTGTTTTTTTTTCTCAAGCTGCTGCTGCGGCTAAAGTGGTAAACCCTAGTACAGTACTCCTTTGATTTTTAGTCACTTTTAGAATAAAAGTGAGGCTCGTGTTTTATTAAAGAAGTATGCTAAAATTACGTTTTTAATTACTCTGTATACTGCTTTAAAATTTAGAATAAATCACACGGAGCACTTAATTTAATACGGAGTAGAACATAACAAAGTTGAATTATGTTTTTAATTACTCTGTATATTGCTTTCAAATTTAGAATAAATCACACGGAGCACTTTTAATTTAATATGGAGTAGAACATAACAAAGTTGAATAGTGATGTTTTCTTTTGAACTGTTTTCAGTCCCAGACCAGACCTGATCAGACCAGACCAGACCAGACTTTTGTAGTTATAAAATACACATAGACCAGAAGTTTACCAGAGCAGACCAGACCAGATCAGATCAGACCAGACCAGACCAGACCACCAAATTTCAGTTTAAAAGAAAACATCCTAAAAGCCTGTTTGGTAGCATCAAAATCGGCTGTTTTGACGGATTCTGATAAAATTTATGAAATTTTTGCTGAAGTGGATGTATTGGCTGATTCTGCTGATTTAAGAAAAAATTAATTTTCAAATATATTTTATTAATAAAATAAAGAAAAAATTATATGTAGAAATAACTAAAATGATCATCTACAGTGACTTCAGTCAATACAGCCAGAAAAGTAACTCCAACCTTACTTTTTCTGCTTATTACACAATTCAGTGCGCGAAAGCAAACGTTTCGTGTTTGGTGAAAAAGATGTCCAATAAGCCTGATAAGCCAAAAAACAGTGTTGCCAAACGGTCTTTAAATAAGATGAAAACATATTAGAATTTTTTCTTTTGAAGTAAAATATGTTGGTACTTTTTCATTATTTAAT